GCTGGGTCTGATGGGCCATGTCAATACAATTACACCCTGCTGGGTCTGATGGGCCATGTCAATACAATTACCCTCTGCTGGGCCATGTCAATACAATTACACTCTGCTGGGTCTGATGGGCCATGTCAATACAATTACACTCTGCTGGGTCTGATGGGCCATGTCAATACAATTACACTCTGCTGGGTCTGATGGGCCATGTCAATACAATACACTCTGCTGGGTCACTCTGTCAATACAATTACACTCTGCTGGGCCATGTCAACAATTACACTCTGCTGGGTCTGATGGGCCATGTCAATACAATTTACACTCTCTGATGATGGGCCATGTCAATACAATTACACTCTGCTGGGTCTGATGGGCCATGTCAATACAATTACACTCTGCTGGGTCTGATGGGCCATGTCAATACAATTACACTCTGCTGGGTCTGATGGGCCATGTCAATACAATTACACTCTGCTGGGTCTGATGGGCCATGTCAATACAATTACACTCTGCTGGGTCTGATGGGCCATGTCAATACAATTACACCCTGCTGGGTCTGATGGGTCATGTCAATACAATGGGGGTCAATACAATTACACCCTGCTGGGTCTGATGGGCCATGTCAATACAATTGGGTCACTCTGCTGGGTCTGATGGGCCATGTCAATACAATTACACCCTGCTGGGTCTGATGGGCCATGTCAATACAATTACACTCTGCTGGGTCTGATGGGCCATGTCAATACAATACAATTACACCCTTACACTGGGTCTGATGGGCCATGTCAATACAATTACACCCTGCTGGGTCTGATGGGCCATGTCAATACAATTACACTCTGCTGGGTCTGATGGGCCATGTCAATACAATTACACTCTGCTGGGTCTGATGGGCCATGTCAATACAATTACACTCTGCTGGGTCTGATGGGCCATGTCTGATGGGCCATGTCAATACAATTACACCCTGCTGGGTCTGATGGGCCATGTCAATACAATTACACCCTGCTGGGTCTGATGGGCCATGTCAATACAATTACACCCTGCTGGGTCTGATGGGCCATGTCAATACAATTACACTCTGCTGGGTCTGATGGGCCATGTCAATACAATTACACTCTGCTGGGTCTGATGGGCCATGTCAATACAATTACACTCTGCTGGGTCTGATGGGCCATGTCAATACAATTACACTGATGCTGGGTCTGATGGGCCATGTCAATACAATTACACCCTGCTGGGTCTGATGGGCCATGTCAATACAATTACACCCTGCTGGGTCTGATGGGCCATGTCAATACAATGTCAATACAATTACTCTGCTGGGTCTGATGGGCCATGTCAATACAATTACACCCTGCTGGGTCTGATGGGCCATGTCAATACAATTACACTCTGCTGGGTCTGATGGGCCATGTCAATACAATTACACCCTGCTGGGTCTGATGGGCCATGTCAATACAATTACACCCTGCTGGGCCATGTCAATACAATGGGCCTGCTGGGTCTGATGGGCCATGTCAACAATTACACCCTGCACCTCTGCTGGGTCTGATGGGCCATGTCAATACAATTACACCCTGCTGGGTCTGATGTGCCATGTCAATACAATTACACTCTACTGGGTCTGATGTGCCATGTCAATACAATTACACTCTGCTGGGTCTGATGGGCCATGTCAATACAATTACACCCTGCTGGACCAACATGTCACCATATGGTCTTTGGTAATGTTGACAGCAATTTATCACTACTCTATGATTCATGTAGTAACATGACATAGATTTTCCCTAGATTTTGCCTGATTTTAACTTTTTGCAGTCCCTAGATTTTACACTGATTTTATACATACTCTTTTCACCAGACTTACATTGCTGGAGTTTCACCAGACTTACATTGCTGGAGTTTCACCAGACTTACATTGCTGGAGTTTCTCCAGACTTACATTGCTGGAGTTTCACCAGACTTACATTGCTGGAGTTTCACCAGACTTACATTGCTGGAGTTTCACCAGACTTACATTCATGAAGTTGTGACTGTGTCTGACCCGAATACATCGGGGAAATATATTCGTGGGTCTTAAGTGAAATATCAAAAAGCTGTAAGCCAATAGATAAACACAATTTTGCCTCATGTTTACATATGATAAACATGACAATACAGATGAAACTGACCTGCAACCTCTGTGTCGTCCACAACTGCATCGTTATGTCTTGTGTGTTCAGCTGCATCATATAAATCGTCATGTCTTGATGTGTATGAAATGAGTCCATATCACTCTGCTCACCATACAGTGTGTGATCTCAGAACTAGAGCTGTTTGTTCACCATCCAGACTCACATTACATCGTCCCCATCCTGACTGCATGCATGGATGTTCCTGAATGGTTAAACTATCAATAATTATACACAGGATGCATGAAAACACAGAATTAGGAATGTGAGACAAATGAATTATTGTGGGCTGTAATTGTAGGAATATCTAGTGATAACATGCAGGGCAATATGTATGTCATACATTGTATGTCATTTTGACTTCCAGCAAATCCTTCTATTTATAAAGCTGGTCATTTCTAATCATACATTTTTCCCCAAAATCACTTTCAAAGCGCATGTACAGTAAATTGCAGTTATAACAAACATGGTTGAAACAAACTGACGGATAGAACAGACTGTTTTTTTTGCTCCCTATTACTTTCTGTATATTTTAGTCATAAAGCATATAATGAACTTACACTAGAGGTCCCTTTAACAACATAGAAAGCGCTCTTTGGATGACACCAATTTGGTTTTCAACATGTACCAGTAAACAGAAACCAATGACCACACAATTCTTTCATATTGTAATAGTTCTATTGTCTTGGCATATTATAACAATATTTCGTCTAATGGGTTATTTCCACCCCTGCTACAATATTTCGTCCTATTTCTACTATTAAAGCTGTATTTTGACTGAAACTATTCCATGGTCCTGATAAAAACTATAATTGTCAGCTACTAGAGATAGGCCACCTCCTCCAGTGCTAAGCACTGTGTCAGATTACAAGTTGAACCTGTGAAATCTATTGATCCCAACTGCATTGTTTAAACTGTTGCTGAAGTTTTCAGAGTAAATTTCCCCAGGCTTTATTTGAGTTTGTAATCGATGTAAGCTGTATAAACACAGGGAGTGCAACTGATTACACATTGTAGTGGCTGGCCAGGACACGCTGGACATATAGACTCGCATCACGACACTGCTCAACCCTGTCCTGCACTTCATGACGCCCCCTTCCCCTATATATTACAAGGAATCACTCAGCTTATCTGGTGTTCTGATGATTTAGGGTGCCGTGGGGTAGCCTAGTGGTTAAAGCGACCGCTAGTCATGCTGAAGACCTGAGTTCGATTCCCCACATGGGTACAATGTGTGAAGACCATTTCTTGTGTCACTCGCCGTGATCTTGCTGGAACATTGATAAAAGTGGCGTAAAACCATACTCACTCACTCTGATGACATAAATTCAACGGATTGGTTTTAGAATATCAATAGATTGAATGTGTAAGTGTGGTGAGTTTGGTGGGTTCATGGTGGTTATATTAATGCATTGGACACAAGCAATGGGCTTACCAGCAAGTGCCCATCTGAGGAATTTAACCTGGGCCTTGGGTGTGATGAAACAATGCTTTAACCACTAGGCTACCCAACTGTCCCTCAAGGGATGAGAAAGCATGTATGATCAAGGATAAATCTAAAAGCTGAAGTCCTGCCTTGCAACCCTGACAGCTATGAGGACTCATGGTCACCCAGCAGAACAAATTGTTAGAATCTTAGATTCAATCCGGTCTGTGAGGATTCATTTCGAGATTAATAATTTGATGAAAAGATGCACCCAGTGGTATATAACAGACTTTCACACTACGTGAACTTATAGCTGGAGCTTATCATTCCTCATTTATACACAGATATGAAATTACATGTATAAAATCATCAAATCATCAAATACACTATCTTTTAAACTGATGATAAAAGCAGTGTGCTGTTCATGTATTTAGTCCATCAAACAACATTATACCTGGTCATGAGTAGACATTCCTATAAAACGTTTCCCTTAGCGATGAAATAACCCAATTTTCAGCTCAGCTTTAATCTTTAACCGTCACATATGATCACTTAAGAAAATTCACATTTCTTTGCAATCGATAAAATAAAGTTAAGTCATAAAGAGCAACTTGCTACAGACAGGACGGCTTATGATTAATTACAGCATAATGATAAGCTCAACATCAATAACAGCGTTTGATACCCTCACAGCAGCATCAAAGAGGGATGTCTCATTGAGTTCACGATGGTAAACACATTATCACAGACAGAATTGGGAAATGCCTCGAGTTGTAATGAATAAAATATTTTATAAATCATATAACTATTAAGTTTTGTCCTTTGACTCACGGAGTCATATATCCCTTTTTCTGCGCATCCCAGCAGGCACATCAACGTCTAATAGACGTCGAAATGAAGTCTACACAATACGTTGAAAAGACATCTAAATATAGTTCAAAATGGAAGTCTAGAAGCCGTTGAAACTTAAACGTCATTTAGACATCTAGAGATAGATGTCATCTAAACGTTGAAAAAGCGTATAAAAGACGTTGATTAGATGCCAATTACTGTATTGTTTTAATGGTGCACCAAAACACATTTTATTCTACTAACTAGAATACCTGTTGTTTACACAAGTTGCCAGTTCAAACATGTACCATCCTCATCCCACCGGCAGGGCTCCAGGTTATAAGACTTCTTGAGGTCAATTTCATGCAGCTCAATGTTTTACCTTGAATTTCAGCAGTAACTTCGAGCATGAAGTCAGAATTAAGCATGAACTTTGAGTTGAGCATGAAATTGAACTCATGAAGTTTATAAGCGCAAGTGCATTATCTCCACATAAATTGATAAAAGAAGACAAAATTTGTAAATGATGTAAACTCAAGTTTATTCATTTCATTTCAATATAAATACAAATTTGATCTTCCACCCCCCGCTACATCGTCCAGGGGCGTTCTTTAGGTACTTTCCCATCTCGAGGTAGACCTCATTTTCTGTTACTCCATGGGAGTTTGTTATAGTCTCTGAAAAGATCAAATTGAATGAAGTAATTAAATGAAATGATTCCCCATGGTTTTGAGAAATAATTCCATTTTACAGGATATTTGGGGTACAATAGGCATATAATGTTTTGGGGATATTGTCCTTTTGTTTTCAGACATTAGTAAGTTTTCCAGAGCATCATTTTGACATTACTTATTTGCTTGTATACTATTGATAGCAGTCGTTACAAAGACCCTGAGAGGGAAATCTCAATTTTGCCCTATTATAAGCCTGACTTAATAAGTCTTTACAACTGAGAGAATATTATCATTTAGTGAAAAGGACTAAGTGCCAGTCAAGTCATTTTGTTCTCCTTCAGGGCTCAAAGGAACTTGTTAATTACTAGTCTTTGCTAGTGAAATGTTACAATTCCAATAAAAACTTTCAAAACCCTTATATTATGATTTAACTAGAATATCTTGAAAACTTTTGTCTGCAAAGTAACTCAACTTCAACAATTGTTTTTTTTAGCCAGTGAACTTTCAATTTATCTCTGATTCCGACAAACTGGACATGGGTGATAAGTGTGTCATTGATATCAACAGATTATATGACAATAGTAATTATACAAAATTTAATTGTTTTCACAAATTCAATAAAATCCAATCTTGGATTTGTTCCCTGGTTCACTTCGGCCTAAGAGTTGATGGACCACCTGTGACTAGGTCATCCTTGTGAACTTTGTACCGGAAATGATTTCATTCATTTGAACTTCAAAGGCACTTTCAGAAGATTACAAGTTTCGGTGGACAACTGTATGAGGCTCCATAAGATCTTAGACTGGAGAGAAGCAGGGAGCAAATTCAAGATCTGATTTTAATGATATATGTGACAAGTAACTTCTCTTAATAGTTAGTTCATAGAGTTGCAAAGTTTTAATGCTGCTAATATACTAGTCTGTCTCACAGTCCCTGAACCACATTAATTTCCCTACTGCCAAGCCCTCTCTGCGCTGCTAAAGCCCTAAATAAAGCAAGTCTAGATTTCCTCAGGTTCTCTGAATCTCTGGTCTCCCTAGGGCTCCTTTTCAATATAAATGGGCTTGTTTGTTACTATCAAAATTATATGTATTCAGAGACTAAGCCTTAGTCTACTAATATACATATGAGCCTCTGACATTGGGAAACCACTGTCGGGAGATGCATTTGGTTTGCGGATGGCTGAAGAAACCATTCCTGATGAATTGTGTGCCGATGAGCCTCTGCTTCCAACTCTCGGCTTGTGCATGACAGGCGGACAGACAGGAGAGGCATCAGGAGATGAGAGCGGAGAGGGAGAGCGTGGAGGTAGAGATGGAGCTGGGGTCGAGCTCCTGGACAGAACATTCTTCCACACAAGAAGTTAAATGTCTTTCTGAAAGTTCAAATCCTATATTGTAATAATCATAATATGCCAGTATATACTTTTCGCTCATTATTAAATAAATAATGCCAAGTTATTATATTTGTGGAAAAAGCTAGTAATCTATGGTAATACATTTTCTTGTGTTTACAATTAGGTGAAAATATGTAATTATGGTATGAACTGTAGTGCTTTATAATTATTACTTACCAGCTTGTCTTGAATTCGGCACTTGTTTTCTTGGCACAGGTGGGTTGATGAATACTAGAATAGAATACCAAAATAAATGACCCATTTATCAATGACTGACAGCAACAGATTTATATGGATACTATATTATTACTACTTTAATATAATAACAAGCTAAACTGTTTCTATTTCTTAAAGTTTCTTTCAAAAATGAACACTTGAATAGCTAATGCATACAAAATTAAATTGATATCTACATTCATTTTAATATAACTAGAACAAAATAAAACAAAGTAATCACAATAAAAAATAACAAAAATGTCTTTAAACATCACCTGTTAAGTCTGCAGCAGCATGATGTTAGTGCAGGTTGATTGGTGTCTCTCTATTCCATGCAACAGGTAGCAGGTATCCTCCATCATGGGGCAAACACACAGCTTTTCTATCGATGTCATTTACACTTATAACACGTATTTTGGCATGTCTTGAGAGAGTATATGGTCTCAACACTGCAATGTTTATCAATTTGGAGTCACATGGGTGTTCAAAGAAGCTTTGCAAATGAGACTGACAGATCACATCACAAACATAATGACGGTTAGGCTGCCTCTCTTTGACAATAGCATAGTTTTGATTTTTCAGTAGAACAAAACTATCCTTCTTCTTAGATGACAGTGAAGTGCTCAGCAACTTGGGCGCTGGGCGACATCTAGAGTGTTCTATTTCAGCAATTCTCTTTGCCAACTGTGAAAGAGGATTTTGTGCTTTTCTGACCTTCTTTAGTAATTTTCAACTGAACATTGTAAGAAGTAAAAGTTGGTCCATAGATATCCCTCCCATTTTGAACAAAGTAAACCAGGAGTTTTTCTGCATAATTAACATATGCATTTCTGGTGTCCTCATTAGAATCAAGAAGTATTGACAATGCTACAGTCAGAGTAAGGAAGTGTTCATACAGCTTGGCAGAAACAACAGATCTAAGAACAAGTGGACCAGTATACAATAAGAACTGCCGCAACTCTGTTGCTTTCCATCTTTCTAATTCTGATAAAGAAAGGGGTTGTCTTGCAAACTCGCATGACATCTTTCCATTGATAGAACATAGCTTTTGACTCAGGAGGGTGAGTTGTTGTTGAGAGAGCTTACAGTCTCTGGGACCATTCTTAAAAAAACACAAGTATTCTCTTGACCACTCCCAAGCAGACCAAATGCATATAATCCAAAGCAAAGTACACAAATACATGACACACCAGCATCTACCAAAGGTGACCTTTTAATCTGATGATCTGGATACCCCAAATTGTTAAAATGCTCTTCAACTCTAGAAGAAGGTACTTCATAGTCTACCGGTATATCAAAGACAACTCTACCTTGCCATGACCTTTACCGATGTTTCCCACATACCATACCGCAATAATAGCGAGTCCGAGTATACAGCTACCTTATTTTCAAAATTTGATGCGAGGACCAAGATGGCTCTTGATAAACATTTTACATAGAGTACTTTCGATTTCCAAATCAAATAGTAAGTCAATAAACTGCTACATGTGCTCATGGCTGCCATGCAAATTATGAACCAACTTTCATTCCAGGAAGATCTTGCATAATTAATGACGATCATCTACAGAACATGGCTGACATTACAAAAGCAAAACATCGGACCCTGCCCTATGCGATGTGACTTCGCAGCAGCTGAAGGACGGTATCAGGGCAATTTCGTTCTCAACAATTATAAAGTTCGAGATTAACAGTCACAAAATGTTACACTAGAATCGCACAAACAATATTCACGAACAAAAATTATTAAAGAATCTACCTTTCTTTCTTCTTCTATGTAGCGTTGATGTCGTGATGTCTGCAATGGAGCTTGTTCAAATTGTGTGGTGCGAAAAACTGCGCATGAGCGAAATGTGGCGACATCTGGTGCATGTCAAGGGGCATAATTCTAATCCAGAATGGCAATGACTCAGATCGATACCTCTTCGTTGAAATTATAATTACTTTTCACACAGAAAATGTCAGAAATGCATCTTAAATTAAAGACAGGATAATATTTCTTACAGGATCCGATTAACTATATATATGTTGATTTTAAGAACACATGATAATATTTCTTACATGATCCGATAAACTATATATTGAACATTTTTTAAAAATATTTTTAATTCACTTCAACCGCATACAAAGATCATCAATATGTTTTGAAGAGGCAAAAAATTAAATTGATTTTATTGGAGTTATTTCGTTTTAATTAAATTTGTATAAATTACAAACATCATGTCTAAGCTCGGATATCATTTTGTGGACTTAAATTTTCTGTACTACAACAAAACAATGAGAAAATAATTGTTTCTGGAAAATATACATAAATTATAATCAACAATCTTGAAAGTAACACTGGTCAAAACGTAAACATCGTTTAAACATATAATCAACGTACAGGCTTAGACGTCGAAATGGATACGTTGAATCAACGTCTAACAGACGTTTTTAGACGTCTAAACCATATCTAAACTTCATCTAGACGTCTTGTGTCTGCTGGGATAACACTGTATTCATATGACTGTCATGCCAAATGTTTCCAAATTATACGTGAATATATTGTCTATAGTGGCAGATAACAAGGAGACCAAGAAGGGAACTAAACATTTGGCTTGACTGATCTGTCTGTTCAGGCAGAAAAGTGTGCTGTAAACCACTTGCTTGAAGTGGTCATGTGCACCAGCTTTCTCAGATAATCTTCACTAAAGCTGACTTAATGATGTGTAATCCTTGCTTTAAGCTGTGCTTCCAAGTAGCATTTGTCAAGGGACAGAATTTTATGCCTACTGATTCCCAATGATGCATTATGGGATGGATGCCAATATCCTGAAGCATCTAACACGTGAAGAAGTTTCACAACAGGTTGGAGCCCCATGTTACTGCAAATTTCAAATAAAACTGTTGTCTTTACACAGTTGTTTCCAGTAAAACTCTTCAATGCAATGGTGACAGATTCGACAATTCTAAATAAACGAGGTATCAGATGTTAAAATCCACTTTTTGAATCTATAAATAGCAAAGCACCATGTCTTCATTATTTTCATATACTACATGAACTGTATATTCTGATGTCCCCCGCTGTGATATTGCTGGAATACTGCTAAAAACGGCGTAAAACTAAACTCACTCACCCATGTATATTGAAACAACAATCCATGGGAAATATATATACCACTACATATGTCAAAGTTATAATTTGACATATAGTATTTACAAAGTAGGAGATATTCAATAAAAAGCTGTCATAACAATTGAGATTTTGTATGCATAATGAGATAAATAATTGAACAGGGACAAAAGACAATCAAGATTTGCACAAGTTTTTGATCATCAGATGACCATAAAGTTTGTTATGTGATTGGTCAAACTGCCCCACTGTCCATCACGCCACTTATCATGGGAAGTCAAAGTGCCCCACTGTCCTTCATGCCACTTATCATGAGAAGTCAAACTGCCCCACTGTCCACGCCACTTATCATGGGAAGTCAAAGTGCCCCACTGTCCATCACACCACTTATCATGGGAAGTCAAACTGCCCCACTGTCCATCACACCACTTATCATGAGAAGTCAAACTGCCCCACTGTCCACGCCACTTATCATGGGAAGTCAAAGTGCCCCACTGTCCATCACACCACTTATCATGGGAAGTCAAACTGCCCCACTGTCCATCATGCCACTTATCATGAGAAGTCAAACTGCCCCACTGTCCACGCCACTTATCATGGGAAGTCAAACTGCCCCACTGTCCATCACAACAGGGGCGGTGGGGTAGCTTAGTGGTTAAAGCGTTGGCCCGTCACGCCGAAGACCCGGGTTAGAATCCCCACAAGGGTACAATGAGTGAAGCCCATCTCTGGTGTTCCCTGCAGTGATGTTGCTGGAATATTGCTAAAAGCGGCTTAAAACCAAACTCAGTCAGTAAGTCCATCACATCATGGGAAGTCAAAGTGCCCCACTGTCCATCACGCCACTTATCATGGGAAGTCAAACTGCCCCACTGTCCACGCCACTTATCATGGGAAGTCAAACTGCCCCACTGTCCATCACACCACTTATCATGGGAAGTCAAACTGCCCCACTGTCCATCACGCCACTTATCATGAGAAGTCAAACTGCCCCACTGTCCATCACACCACTTATCATGAGAAGTCAAACTGCCCCACTGTCCATCACGCCACTTTATCATGGGAAGTCAAAGTGCCCCACTGTCCATCACACCACTTATCATGGGAAGTCAAACTGCCCCACTGTCCATCCATGCCACTTATCCAAACTGCCCCACTGTCCACGCCACTTATCATGGGAAGTCAAACTGCCCCACTGTCCATCACAACAGAGTCTTATCATGGGAAGTCAAACTGTGCCCCACTGTCCACAATGCCATCTTTGTCCCTGCAGTGATGTTGCTGGAATATTGCTAAGCTGTCCAAACTCCAGTCCAGTAAGTCCATCACATCATGGGAAGTCAAAGTGCCCCACTGTCCATCACGCCACTTATCATGGGAAGTCAAACTGCCCCACTGTCCACGCCACTTATCATGGGAAGTCAAAGTGCCCCACTGTCCATCACGCCACTTATCATGAGAAGTCAAACTGCCCCACTGTCCATGCCACTTATCATGGGAAGTCAAAGTGCCCCACTGTCCATCACGCCACTTATCATGAGAAGTCAAACTGCCCCACTGTCCACGCCACTTATCATGGGAAGTCAAAGTGCCCCACTGTCCATCACGCCACTTATCATGAGAAGTCAAACTGCCCCACTGTCCATCACGCCACTTATCATGGGAAGTCAAACTGCCCCACTGTCCATCATCATGCCACTTATCATGGGAAGTCAAAGTGCCCCACTGTCCATCACGCCACTTATCATGAGAAGTCAAACTGCCCCACTGTCCATCACGCCACTTATCATGGGAAGTCAAAGTGCCCCACTGTCCATCACGCCACTTATCATGAGAAGTCAAACTGCCCCACTGTCCATCCACGCCACTTATCATGGGAAGTCAAAGTGCCCCACTGTCCATCACGCCACTTATCATGAGAAGTCAAACTGCCCCACTGTCCATCACGCCACTTATCATGGGAAGTCAAAGTGCCCCACTGTCCATCACGCCACTTATCATGAGAAGTCAAACTGCCCCACTGTCCATCACGCCACTTATCATGGGAAGTCAAAGTGCCCCACTGTCCATCACGCCACTTATCATGAGAAGTCAAAGTGCCCCACTGTCCATCACGCCACTTATCATGAGAAATCAAAGTGCCCCATCACAACACTTATCATGGGAAGTCAAAGTGCCCCACTGTCCATCACGCCACTTATCATGGGAAGTCAAAGTGCCCCACTGTCCATCACGCCACTTATCATGGGAAGTCAAAGTGCCCCACTGTCCATCACGCCACTTATCGTGGGAAGTCAAAGTGCCCCATCACGCCACTTATCATGGGAAGTCAAAGTGCCCCACTTTCCATCATGCCACTTAACATGAGAAGTCAAATTAACATCACATAAACGTGCCAGAAATCTCGAGACAACCCCATATTTGACAAGGCATTTACCCAATAAAAAATCCAATGTCAGCTTGGTTCATTCCATTCTTCCTGCAAGGTAGCACCAAGTTCCTTGAGAGTGGTTGGTGGTTGTTGATAGTGATGGACATGCCCAGGATATATCAGACATGTTCTGATGGGTGACAAGTCTAGACTGAGTAGTAAGGCAGTTATGTTTGTTGGAGGTACTCACTAACAATATGAGACCTGTGTGCTTTTGCATTGTAATCCTGAAACAAAACGACATCCATATCGGCGTGCAAATGCCACGAGGTGCGCCTCAGAAGTACTGCACACGTCTGTGAATACCATGTAAAGGTTTCTACCAGTCACAGTGATACCATCCTACAACATTACTGAGCCACTTCATTTTAACGTAAATGGCATGAAATGGCTCATTCCATCTACACAACACTCTGTTGCACCTGTTAAGGAAGTCGGTTTAAAGCTTAACATCTTGACACCAACTACATCTTGCAGTAAAGTGACAGTCTGTCAATCATGGGATTACACATGGACATCAGATATGGAGGTTCCATCTGAGAAGCTCTCCAGTTAGAGAGGCACTTTGAGCACAGTTGTTCTGATGAAACGTCCCAGATTGAAGTCTGTCATCAACATTATTTGTCTGTTGACATCATGATTGTAATCTGATGCTAACTGTGAAATGTTAAGAGCATGTGCTATAATGAGTTTTCAAACAATAACAGGTTTTAATCATGCATATGGAAGATGAGTCAATAACACGTTTTTTTCTTCCAGAAAATTTCAATGATTTTCAGTTTGTCCAAGAACAGTGTATGATCCTCTGATGGTTCCAAGTACTTGGTCAGGTTGTGTGGCCTACCTTGTGCCAGGCGATGTAAAGCTCTTTGTCTCCTATGACCATTGTCCCTCAACTATAGCACCGTCAATGTTGGCATGTGGGTTAAGATGATGTTCTATGATGACATTTGGATTAATGAGCCACCAATTCAATTTCAGCTGTCCATCTGCTTGCAGCGGAATTATTTCATCAATTTGGATCTGCTGGTGTTAATCTAATTTTCTAATCAAAATTCATGATCCTGTGTTTTTGTTCAGTACATTAGTGAAAACAAACACCTTTTAATAGAATATAACACATCAACAGATACTTGTCTGGAAGAAAATGACGAAGACAAAAATGTAAAACATGAGAAAAAACAATGCCAGAACATCAGTGAAATACCGAAACTCAAAATAATGTCCAAAAATATAATCAGTTTTGAGTTGGCACAATTTCTTCAAGAAAGTCCTAAACCTTTTAGGATAACTGCCAGCAGACTAATC